TTTTTTATTTGAGCCAGAATACACTGACGAAGAGCTTCGTGAAATTGAAGAATGGAGGAAGACAGAGAGAGAGGCGCAACAGGTAGAGGACGAGAGCGGAGGAATGCGTAGCTCTGGAGATTGGTGGTGTACCTGTGAATGCTGTGCCCCAGTGCCCACAGAAGAGGAATGCCTCTGTTGCAAGGAATGGGACCGGTTGCAGCCTTATTTTCAAGGTCTGGATGTGACCGAGGACGAGACACCTCCACCTGGAGTAGTATCCAGCTGGGCTTTATCTAGAGCTCGCGAGATATATTTCGGCCGCACTTTGGAAAGCAGAGCTAAATGGTAAACAAACATGGCACCACACCAGTAAGGTAAGACAACACGTTTACATGTCCTTTTCTATATGTTCTCTGACATTTATCCTAACGATATGAGGCGGTCTTTGTGGAAAAAAAGCTTGTTTAGTGGACTAACTTTGCACTTGAAGGTTGCCTGTTCACTTACGTTTTAACAGGTCTAACGCTACTATGCGCCCCGGCTGTATCTAGGCTAACGGCTAACATGCTAACTATTATTTTTATGTCACTAGTCACTTGAAACAAATTTAGGACAATAGGAGACAGGTTGAAATAAATCGAAATTTCCCTTAACATTCCTGACTGTAAATTTCTGTAATGATGCATGATTATCTACAATATTCATTAAAGTTTCAATGAAAGCTTGAAATGCTTCTTCGGGATCATCTTGTAAGAACACATTTGACCAGTTGGCATTGGTTACTTTCAGTGACGGACTGGCCATCTGGCATTTGGGCAAATGCCAGAACGGCTGCATGGTCCTGCGGCCGCCGGCAGCCACGCAAATAAATAAATAAATAAATAAATAAATCTTCACTTGTTGGTGGCCCAACACATTTTTATCAGCCACAATATACATATAAGTAGTTGCCTAAATATAATTTTAAATAAATATGAGTGAAATGGTAAGATAAAGTGTTTTTGGTCATCAAGCATTTTCTCGCGATCATTGAGTGATGACATTTGACATCTGACAAGTGACGAATGATGGGTAATGCACTCAACGACAACATCACAACAAGAAAAGAAAATGGATCGAGGCATGAAAAGACGGGTGGAGAAGGGTGGAGTGGAGAAAAAGAGAGAGAAAAAAAGGAAAGCTATGCTCGCGGAGAGTGAAAAGTATGCGAAAATATCAGATTTATTTACAAAAAAAGTGTTTACCCAGCGGTGACAGACCGAGCACCTCTGCAGCAAGTGCAGCTAGCAGTACGGCCTCTGCCTCAGAGAAGAGCACACTCCTTTGCAGCCTGCTAACTACTTAAAGGTAAGACATAATAATAATAATAATAACTTAATTTGTATAGCACCTTTCAAAACAGAGTTACAACGTGCTTAACAAAAACAATTAGTACATAAAACAATAAAACATCAAATAATTTAAAAACAGTTACAATAATTAATTACCATCAATTAAGAAAAGACCATACGATAAATGTGAGTCTTAAGAAGAGATTTAAAAGAAGACACTGAGAGACACACATTTATTTTTATACTCTAGCTGTGCAGTGCTCTTGTCATGTTTTGGTGAAGCTATTGTAATATGCATTGTGGCTGCTGTAACATTTATTATGGCTTATAAAACATAGGGTCCTTCTTGTTTCTGTTGTAACTAGTGCTTTTGATAGAGCTATTGAAATGTGCACTGTGGCTGTGCAGTGCTCTTTTCATGTTTTGCTGAAGCTATTGTAATATGCATTGTGGTTGGTGTAAGATTTATGTTTCTGTTGTTATAATTTGGTTGTGCTGTATTCTGTCCAAGAGGGGACGCCTATGGTTAATGGTGGAAGTAGGCTAAGCCTTTAGGATGAAATTGTGTGGAGTATGATTTCAGATTTTCGTGTTTTGGTAGACATAGTGCTAGTATTATTAACTGAGATTATTAGTCTGGCCTTTGAACGTGCCTGAATTTATGGGGGTTCTGCTGCTGCCTTATTATCTTGTGTGCTGTGCATTGTTGTTGAACTGGCTTTTTGAACTTTTGTTTTCCTTACGATTGCAATGAGATTGTGATCTGTACATCCTATAGGCAGAGATATGGATTTGGAACAGACCTCAGGAGTGTTCAAATAAATATGATCAATACAAGTCGCCACTGTCTTGCCATTATTTTTCAAACAAATTCTCATTGGCTTATTAACAACTTGTGATAATCCGAAAGCTGCACAGGTATTCATTAGTTTCTTTTTCATTGGACAAGAAGAAGAATTCCAGTCTATGTTCATATCAGCCATAAAATATAATTCATGATTAGCACTGCAAACATTATCTAACATATCACAGATATTATCTAGATATTCAGAATTAGTACTGGGAGATCGATAACCACTTCCTATCAAAATAGGCTTGAGATGTTTCAAATAAATTGGTTGTACTGAAACTGAAACACAGCGTCTGACAAAAGTTCGGCTGGACAGCGCCTGCAGCCAGTCGGGACATCTATTTTGTTGGCTTCAAATCCAAAATGTTTTTATATTGGTGCAGTTTTAGTTTTCTTGAAAGATAAACAATGCCATGTCTCCTCTCGTCATCCCCAAAAACACATGCACATTCAAGTAAACAAACAGCATGTGCCACTCTCCCGCCTCTTCTGAATTGTGATCTCCTTCATGTTGCCATCACTGGACTGCCAGGCACTAGTGGCTTTGTTAGTCAGTTTATGAACATATAATCACACTGTCATATTGCCTTTTACTAATGCAATACGAGTTGGATTAAGCGTGACGCCGTCAGCACTGGTAGCTGATATAGGCTACTTTTTTATGTGCCAGAACCTGTCTGAAGAACGTTGGTTCAGCCGCTTTGCATAAAATGAAACCTGTTTAAGCTCGTACACCAGACCGGACCAGCAAAACCAAAAATCCACAAACTCTAGCACAGGGTAACTTTATAACATTACAACATTCAAAACGCTCATTAAGTTATTTTTGTTGTGATTGTTTTGGACACAGATAATAGCGTGGGGCAACCCCACGATTGAATTCGCCATATAATAGTAGCTACAGTCAAGTAGCTACATATCTAATGCTAATGGAAGTTAGCATGTTATTGTTATGTTTTACTATTTATTTATTTATTTACTTACATTGTCAGCTAAAACACTTCGGCTACAAAATGTTTTAAACCATCTGTACAAAGGGTTTGAGGTGCTGCTTGTCAATTTATTGTTTTATTTATTGACATTATTTTGATTACATTTGTTTTGAATCTACCTCAGATTTGTGAGATGTTCCAAGTGTTATACCACAATTAATCGTATGTTTCAACTTTCACTCAGGAGCAAATACCAGCCTGTAAACTTGATATAAAAATTATTTGTTGTTTAAAATGAATACTGATTTGACGTTTATTATGATAATTATCAATATCGACTGATAACGAACATTTTTCTTGGGTTCACTTCTTTCCTTTGTCTATAAATGCAGATATGCCTTAAATTTGATATTCATTTTTTCATTATAACATTTTTGGCCCTATCACCCAGCCCTACTTATTTCCCTTTGTCTATAAACGCATATATATTCTCTCTCCGTCTCTCTCAAATTAAAATCCTGACAAGCATTCAGCTGAGTTTGGACTGCAGCATAAACAGAATCCACAGCTTGTTACAGCTTGTTTGCAAGAATAAAAACTGAAATAATACAAAGATTTATATGGCATAATTACTAATCTTAAACTCAATTTAGATTTACTAGAATACAGGGCAGAATTGATAAAAATGAGCATTTAATTCAGGTTACACCCGATCGAAGTTTGAATATAACATAATCTGGCCAAGTAACATTGTACCATGCCAATTTTTAAAATTTGACCATTTCAGTTCTCATGCTCTCATTCTTAGGATTTAAGTTTATTTAGGTTCCACAACCAGGACCAATGATTCTATTAACTGCTGTTAAGCAATTGGGACATTTACTATAGAAGAATAAAGTGAACAGAATTACATCACGTTTGTGTAGTCTGATCCAGATAACACCTTTTTCCAAGCCTTATTCAACTAGTCACTATTTAGTTATTGTAAAATAATTCACTATAAATCACACGCACAGACGCGCGCGCGCGCGCGCACACACACACACACACACACACACACACACACACACACACACACACACACACACACGAATGGTCAGCTTCATTCAATCCTTGAATTCCTCTCTTAACAGCAACACGGGGTTGTAAACCGCAGCCAAACAATCAAGCCTGATGTGATGTGAGTTGAAGCAGTTTTAGTCCCAAACGGTGTGCAGTGCTGCTGCCAGCATAGCGGACAGCCAGAGGCTAGAGAGCATCCAGCCTAGAGCCCGGCAACACAACGACCCAGCTCCCGAGTTGAGGAATGCCAGGTAACGTTAGCTACCAAAACACAATCGTTACCTTAGGTTAATCAATCCCTCGATCAAAATACGATGCTCACCAACAAATCAAACAGTTAACGTACTGATAATGAAGGCATATAGATTACCTATCGGTATAATCATACCAAAATGTCATTACTTTACAGAAAAAGACTATCTGAAGGGCAGCGTGAAGGGAACGAAAAAACTTTGAACAGCAACTCGTTGTGGATTTCAGCTGGCATGCTAACAGCTAGCTCTATAAAGCAACAGTGTCATCAGACTGTCGCTAATACTAGCATGCTAACGCCAGCTTCAGGGGCTCCAAGTGATACTCTGAACAAACCCATGACCTGGACCTTCTTCATGTCCTAGTCCCTCTGTGATGGTGCCAACACAGCCATATATTCTTCAGACGATGAGACAGATTTCCATTACAAACCCCAGCCCGGTAACCAGTGAGATAACTGGGAGTTGGAATAACGTTTTTAGCTAACTGCTGAGGCTACGACAGCTCCTCACTCAACTCTGCACAGAAAACGGGATTTGACTTTGAAACAGTGTCACGAAATAAGCAGTCTGTCAGTAATTTCAGACTTACCAGTAATTCTTGTCAACACACATCAAGCCGACAAGTTAAACGGAGGTTAACAAGCTTCAGCGTTTACAGTTAAAAGTGAACTTCGGCACATCGTTGCTCAGTCCGCCATCTTGGATCTGCGAGAAGTCTGGAATCAACCAAATGTGGTTTAATGGGGGAGGGTTTAAATTTAACCCCCCAAATAATGAATTTATAATTTGTTTTCACCGACCAAAATCCAAAGGAAGGCAGTATATTCTCTGCTGCCCGGGGATTTTTACGGAATGTCAATGGTAATGTTGACTCACCTCTTGTTTTACCTCTCATTACTGATGGATAACCCCTGAAGCCACATTGAAGTGTTTTAAGCCTTACAGATGTGCAGTGCAAAAAAGGTCATACACCTTTGAATATTTACTTTTAAGTGTCACCCTTAAGAAACAAGTTACATATCAGGATTTAGCTCTCAAAACCTGATATGCTCTTCCAAATAAACAAACATATTAATAAAAGGATTGTTAATTATATTCTCATTATGCAATGAGGAGAGACTTGGGGCCAGGGTTGAAAATTAGCCCCAGTCACCAGCCAAATGCTGGTGAAATTTGCAAGTGGCTGCTAGATTTGCCCTCATTCACTAGCAAAAAAAAAAAAAAAAAAATTTAAAGGGTAATCTACTAAGTGGCCAGTAGATTTTGGAATCCACCAGCCACATTGGCAGGTGGACAAAAAAGTTCATTTCCAACCCTGTGGGGGGGCAATGGTAAAAGTTGATGTCATTACTCAAAAACCAGTTGAACAATTTCTATACAGTTTTCACATCGATAACTTGATTTTACCTACGTAATATTTCCCCCCTAATCTCCACTCTTACAACGTCTGTTATCATCCCTCAGAAAAACTTCACATATTTATGTGATATTTAAGTGTTCCAAAAAATAAAGGCTTTCAACTACATCTCACTGTCTCTATCAGCATATCAAATTGGCTCAGGTGTCATCATGTGACCTTAATATGTGAACTTCTGTCTCTTTTCAAAGATGGTCTCTGGTATCAGGTGTGAATGTCTACCTTGATCTTTCTCCAGCCATCCACTGACTCCTGGTTGATGACCCGTGACCTCTACTCGGCGGGTACTGTCAGCCATTTTGGCTTGGTTTTCACAGATAACTGATATTGTCTGTTTCCACTGTTGATTCAGCCTCCCCATTCAGTCCCAGACACTGTATCGAATCAATCAGTGCATCCCACATCAATCCAAATTTGTTTTATATAAATCTGTTCATGAAATAAATAAATATAGAATTATTTCTGTGCCAATATTACAAAATATACAGACTTCACAATGGTCACTTATATATATATATATTTTAGAATTTGTTTGTTTGAAACATTTTACTGTTTTCAAATATGCTTCTCTAATTTTGTTGGTAATAAAAATAAAATTAATTTCCAATTAATATATTTAGACTGGGGACAGATGTACTGACTGATGTACTGAGACACGTCAGGGAGTTCCACTGGGATGCTTCTGTTGGTCCTTTTTTAGTTATTAGTGTCTTCTTGGCTCATCATCCATTATTTGTACCTCTTGGCCCAAGGTACCACCTTGGACATGCTGCAGCCCCCTCTATCCTTTTCCTCCGTACCGACAGGTTTTGCTTTGTCACCTCTGATGTTGTGAGTGGTGTTTAGAGTTCAAGTGACATTAAAGCTTAAAGCAACAATTTTCATACATCTATGTGAAACATACCAAAGTTGCTTCTTTGTTGAAATTTTGTAGGGGGCGCCACTGAGCGATTTTCTCACATCTGAGCCCAAGATCCATAAAATATTACATTTTTCACCAGTTCTCATGGGTGCACAAAGTTACATGAGTTTTTTTAAACCTTTAGTCCCTCAACAATGTGATTCATTTCAAAGAAGAAGAGAAGGAACAAGAATTCCTTCCGTTTCAATAGGGCCTTTGCGACTGCCTGCAGTCACTGCTGGGCCCCTAATTTAAGTTGTAAGCAGAGATGAACAGGCCCTCACACCTATGTGCATATCGGGAGTACTGATGTTACACCAGTTAATGCAGATTTTCGAGATGGTATTTACTGTTAGGGGTGGCTGCACTGGATTACAAATTTTGTACAACTTCCTGTGTCCACTATGGGGTGCTAGAGAACACACAGTTATATACGTCATGTTGCTACTATGAATTTTAGACCACACCATGTAAATTTCATGTAAATCAAATTATATTGTGACACAAGGCTTATTTCCTGTTGCAAATGGGTGGCGCAATCACCATGCGCCATGGCAACAGCATTCAATGGAAACTTACTGTCATATAATCATTAAGGCTTTTCTGACCACATTTGAGGTGGGTGTTGTCAATGTGCTAGGAGGAGTACATCAAGTAGAAAACATGATTTCCTGTTACCAGTAGGTGACGCTATGACTATAACTCAATTTTGACAGGTAGATGTCATGAGGATGGGACTGTTACTAAGCATGAGACAACAACTTTGGTGCTCTGGCCCTAAAATAATAACAACAATAATAATAATAAATATAGCTACAAGCAGCAATTCCGGGGTTCAAGCCAGCACGGAAGTTGAAAGCTGGGTAACATTAAGACCTTTGACAGTTTAGGACACCTGTGTTAAAGATAAACAACAGGTTTCATGACAATCAGACAGACGCTTATTTATTGATGTCCAAATCTGTACCAGGCCATGCTCTTCTTTGGAAACTCTGTCGCTTCCTATTGGTCAACTGCAGAAACATTTTGGAGACATGCTTAATGGCATTAGTTAAAAAAAAAAAAAGTCCACCAAGTTTGTTGATGTTTGAACAAACCGTCATTGATTCATGGCCAAATTTTGAGAAAGACCACTGCTCTTGTTTGGAACTTGTGGCACCCCCTTTTGACTGATTTCAAAATAATTTAACACATGTAGTTCATCATTATTATTTAACATACCCTGCAAGTTCTGTAATGATTGGACAATCAATTTCTGATTTCTAGTCTGATTTGTATTATCCCTAGCCAATTTTTTGCCATTTTTTTTTTAAATCTGAATGAAACTTTCAGGATATGTTCCTGGTTCCTCTGAAGAAATTGCTTGCAAGATTTTCTGATGATTGACCAAAGGTTGTGGAGTCATTTGCTGAGCCACACCCCCTTTAAAGTTTATTGTCAACACAGTGAGATATCAATACCAGTTAAAGTGTTGGTGATAAAATTCTGAAAATAATCGCACATCATTCTGCTGATTTCAAGTATTTTGTCAAATATTTTGGTGACATTTGGTTAAAAATAAGATAAAAATCAAAAAAGGCTCCCGCACACTGTTTCACTCTCTTATTTTCATTTTATTTAAGTAAAGTTTCAGATGGTGTGTGACCTTCATCAGGCATTTCAAAACATGATGAAGGTCACACTGACTGAAATGTTGCTTAAATAAAATGAAAATGAGAGTGAGACAGTGTGCAGGAGCCTTTTTTGATTTTTATATATTTTGGGGTTGCAGCCTCTCTCCTACGCACCTGCTGTTTTTGGGTGTGCTGAGATTTTCCATACATTTTGGTTAAAAATAAGATGAAATAGATAATGTTGTGCATACAGTACAAATTACAACAAAATAATGAATATCACTGTGAGCTAACCGTTAAACCGATCTGAACACCATTTGAAACATGTGACATCTAGTATCCAAATAATGTTTGTGGCAATGGTGGTTGCATATAGATGAAGACTTTTGGAGATATAGATGTTAATTAATTTAGCATATTCTTGAAAAATGTAGGGATGGACTTCTGAATAGACTATAGCTTGCACATGGCAAACATTTGTCACAATTCAGTTGATGTGCTGAAATAAATTCTGCTCTGTAGGATACACTGGTGATTTATTATGATTTTTTGAAGTATGGAATGGGAAATGTCTTGAAATTTAGATTTAATGTAATAAGCAACATTCCCTTTAGGCAATAATTTTCAAATTTTGTGCATCGACTAAGACATGAGCCTAGATGATGCAAACCAAGTTTAATACAAATATCTCTGGGTGATTATGAGATATTAACTTTTTGCATGTGTAGTGCCCCCTATTGGTGGATTTGAATCAAACTTTCAGGGTATGATTCAGTTACCCATGTAGACATCTCCTACAAGTTTTGTGGTGATTGGCTCAACTGTTAAGGAGTAAAATCCATGAATGTGCTAAGCCACGCCCCCACTAAAGTCCATTGCTAAATATCATCAAAACGCAATGACATATCAAAAAGCTGTTAATAATGAAGAGCTTCATCCCATGATAATCCACAGAAAATTTGGCAGAAACAGGACCAACACCTTAGGAGATGTCAAAAATGTCCTTTTCAAAAAATTCAATATGGCAGACAATCTAGTTAGGCGGACCTTGAGGTTCTTTGAGGCTTTTGTAGAACCCATTCACCTGCACGTGTGTGTCGAATTTCAAGTCAATCTGACATACGTTGCAAGGGTGGTGGCCTTTCAAAACCAAATTTACTTCAACCTTAATTATAGTGCCCCTAATTTGGCCTAGTGGCATGATATTTCTTGAGCACCATTTGTACACAACTTCCAATCACTGGTGAAAATTTCATGTCTCTACAATGTACCATCTCACAGGAATTTGCAAAAACATTTCTGAACAATGATAATAATAAAACAGGACAAAGACAATAGGGTTACAGCCCTTTGGGCTTGAACTCCTAATAATAATAATGATAATAAGAAAGTTCCAAGAGGGTCCTTGTGCTTTTTGCTGCTCAGGCCCTAATAAATAAATAATTCCTTCAGCTTTCAAGAGGGTCCTTACAGTGTTTGGTGCTTAGGGCCTAATAAGGAGCTCAAAAAACACTCAAGGACAGCTGTAATATCGACAATACTTAGCAGTGACTATTACTGAATCTGGTGGAACAATAGAAGAGGGAGACTGAAGTAGATATGGAATTAGAACCCAGGTGAGAAGCTAGTTATGCGCCAGTCAGGGTTTTTAAAGTCCACAACAACCCAGCCAATTTGCCCCACTAGCCCAGTAAACATATGCTAAAACCAATGACCCAAACCCAACCCACAAACCAGAGCTGAAAGTTTCTGGCAATTAATATCTCTAATAAC